GGGCACAATGATATAATGACCCATTTAACAACCGGCACAATTTAACGAGCATAATTCCAGGCTGAATTATGGTCAATTGAGTTGACAACTGCCTGTATGTGGAAGATCTAAAGAGGCAGAGAAAGAAGTAAGGTAATCCTCGACATACAACCACAAGTGAGCCCAGCATTTCTGTTGCTAAGGGAGACACGTGTTCAGGGAGTTTTTTGCCCCATTTTACAACTTTCCTTGATGCGTATGTTAAGTGAATCGCTGCAGTTCTTAAATTAGTCACCCGTTTGTTAAGTGAATCAGGCTTCTTCCCTGTTGATTCGGCCGGTCAGAAGGTCGCAAAGGGGACACTGCCATCGTAAACGTGAGTCAGTTGTCAAGCATCTGAATGTAACAAGAGCGTGGAAATGCTGTAATGGTCATAAGCCTGAAAAATGGTCATAAGTCACATTTTTAGCATTGTGTGTAACTTCGGTCACTATGCGAACTGTTGTAAGCCTAGGACTACCGTGTATTTATTCATATATGGTTTTAGAACAAGGGTCTTCAAACTTAGCGCTGAGCTGGCCACAGAGAATTGGTCATGGCGAGTTGTCCCATTCCACTTCCCTGTACCCCTTGTTGGAATCCACTCTCTGATCTCCAGCTCTTGTGTGACATTTGTGTGGATTCTGCTCATGAAATTGTGACCTATGGATTGTCTCACAACCTTGACCTGGCTCTCAGAGCTTTGGATTGGATTTGGACTATTCTGTACCCTCCTGTTAAAAGCAAAACCACTCTGGTGAGCAGGTGTTGTTTAGGGACCGTTTTTGGATTGCATTCCTTATCTGCTGTTATCTGCTAATTCACCGCAGCAACTGTCTGTGTGAGTGTATAAACTGGAAGCGGGACAGAATCCATCAAATAATCAGCTTAAGCCCAATCAGAGCATTTAATATTTATTTACATAAGTTATGTCCTGCCTGATTTGACACATTCCAGGCAGCTTGTATAAAATCATAAATATTTTTTAAAAAATTACAAGAACAATCGGTTGCACCAATCAGCATCACCTAACTATCCCTTCAAGCTCAAACAGCATTCATTACCTTCCCAAATTATACAGTAATTATCCTGATGGCATGAAAGTATTACTCTGTACATGCAACATTCACAAATCATTTTCCAGTGATTTTGTTTTTTAGCTAGATCTGGAGTTGTTAACATTGTGAGTAACTGCTAACTTGGGATAATAATGCGCTTGCGTTTTCAGATTGAATTTATTTATTTCCCTGCTGACCTGGATGAAGGTTGTCTGAAGTTCTCTGAATCATTGCAACTGGATTATTATTTTTTTTAAAAAAATCAACCTTCAGACAACTTTCAACCAATTCTATTTGGATGACTAAGAATTTGCTGACCTGGATGTTGAGTTCACACAGATTGGTTGGCACCAAGTGGCATCAGCTGCGATTTTGAAGGATCGTTTTCAGTCACCGCAGCCTTGGAATGTGGACAGCTATCTGCTTTGATTCCTGTCTAGGTGGCTTTTGAATCTGGTTGATCCAGATTAAGAACCTGCTATTTATTACATGAGGTAATAATGCTTAACTTTCTTAAAGAGGAATTCAAAAAGTTCCTTCAGAAGAAACCTGCCTTGATCCATAAGTAATGGTCAACTGTACTTTATTTTTCCAGATGTGAACCCAATGAAACAGCTTTGATTGCTTTGGTCACTGAATGGATGTTAGTTGTGAAGTCATGTCTGACCCATCGCGACCTGATGGATAACGTTCCTCCAGACCTTCCTGTCCTCCACCATCTTCTGGAGTCCATTTAAGGTCATGCCGACTGCTTCAGTGACTCCATCCATCCACCTCTTTCTCTGCCGTCCCCTTCTTCTTCTTTGTCCCTCAATCGTTCCCAGCATTAGGTTCTTCTCCAGTGAGTCCTTCCTTCTCATGAGGTGGCCATTTTGGGTTTCATCTTCAGGATCTGGCCTTCTAAAGAGCAGTCAGGGCTGATCTCCTCTAGGACTGACTGGTTGGATCGCCTTGCAGTCCGAGGGACTTGCAGGAGTCTTCTCCAGCACCAGAGTTCAAAGGCCTCCATTCTTTGGTGCTCAGCCTTCCTTATGGATTAGAATAAAAAATCTAGTGGACATGTAGTCATTCTTCCTGCTCAGGGCAAGAATCCACTAAATTATCTGACAGGTGGCCCTACAGCCATTCCAGCAAGCTGAGTCTTTGTTCTTCTAGAGGCAGAAGGTTCCAGTATGTCTCAGCTTCCAAATCCTCCTGAATCTTTGAACCAGGTCTTCTCGCCCTGCTCACCATTTCAACTGGGAATATATCTGCCTCTTTTACATGGAGCTGCCTGTGCCTATTGTATCTCATTTCACTGTTCTCTTTTGCAAGCCAGACATGGGTAATTGTTCATTATTCGGCTTGGATTGCAGGTTTCGTACAAACAAGCCACTTCTGAACCTGATGCAGTCTTTCCGGGGCTTGTTTAAAGAGCTGAGCTCAGAAGTGGACACAATCCAGTTCTCACTTAACATATCATTTAAATGTGAGCCAGCCATGTGCTGCAGCTGCCAAAAAAGCCAACACAGTTCTAGGCTGCATTAACAGAGGAATGGAATCAAGTTCATATGAAGAGTTAGTGCCATTTTATAATGCCTTGGTAAAGCCACACTTGGAATCCTACATCCAGTTTTGGTCGGAACAATGAAAAAAGGATGTTGAGACTCTGGAAAGCAATAAGGATGTTTAGGGGGCTGGAGGCTAAAATGATTGCAGGAATTGGGCATGTCTAGTTTAATTAAAAGAAAAACTCGGGATGACATGATAGCAGTGTTCCAATATTTGAGGGGCTACTACAAAGAACAGGTCAATCTATTCTTCAAAGCACCTGAAGGCAAGACAAGAAGCAGTGGATGGAAACTAACCAAGGAGAAAAGCACCTAAGGAGAAATGTCTACAGGTTTTTAAGAAGAGATTGGACAACCATTTGTCTGAAATGGTATAGGGCTGTGATGGCGAACCTATGGCACGCGTGCCACAAGTGGCACGAGAGCCATTTGTGCCAGCACGCGAGCTGCAGGCAAACTTACCTCACTGCACATGCGCGTGCCTCATAACTCATTTTTGGCAAGTTTGAGGCCTTTTTCAGCCTCCCAAAGGCTTGAGGAAAGCTTCTGCAGGCTTTACAGGCCGAAAACTAGCCCTGTTTTGTCACTTCCTGTTTTTCCAAAAATACCGGAAGTCACGAAATGGGGCTAGTTTTTGGCCTGCAAAGCCTGCAGAAGCCTTCCTCAAGCCTCTGGGAGGCCAAAAAAGGCCTCAAACCAGCCGAAAATCAGCTGTGAGGTGTAGTGCAGGTAAGGGGGCACGGCAGGGGGTGGGGGGATTGCGTACACATACGTAGGGGGCATGGGGAGGCATTGCCTTCTGGGTGCTGGCACACGAGCACGAGTGTGCAAGCATGTCCACAATTTTTGGCACAGGAGCCCAAAAAGGTTTGCCACTACTGGTATAGTGTCTCCTGCTTGAGCAGGGAGTTGGACTACAAGATCTCCAAGGTTCCCCTTCCAATTCTCTTATTTTGTTCTCTTATAATCCTGCAGGTTAAAGTCCGGTGAAATTTGGATGTCCTCACATATTTCCCTTTCTTCCTAAATATTTATGATGGGAAAAGAGATCATATATTGCTAGTTCAGCCGTCCCTGCTTTCCAAGTCACGGTTAATTACATAGTTTGGTGGCAGGTGAGTTTACCATAACATTACATTGCAAATTTATGAATGCAGGTCAATGGACAAGGAAGGGAAGGCAGGCTGCAGTCCGACACGCTCCTGATTCCTTCTTCACTTGAGGCAGTGTTCTTAGTAACAGTTGATTACCAATCCTCTTCCATATTTGCATCCTAGATTTTGTAACGCAGAGAAGAGCAACACAGAGGATCAGGGGACTGGAGGCTAAAACATAGGAAGAACAGTTGCAGGAACTGGGCATGTCTAATCTGATGAAAAGGAGGACTGGGGTGACGTGATAGCAGTGTTCCAATATCTGAGGGGCTGCCACAAAGATGATGTCGTTAGCCTGCAGCAAGTACGGATGGCTAAGGAGAGCGAGGACTCAGATGATGGGCCAGGACCATTAGGGGGTGGAATGCTGCCTTCGGAGATTGTGGGGGCTGGCAGCAGTGATGAGAAGGTGTGATCTACTCATCAGCGATGAGGAGCCTGTGCCAAGTGTGCGTACGTGCAGGGTTGCTCGCAGGAAAGAGCAGCTGCAACAGCATGGGCGACTCAGGAGTAAGGCTGCAAGGTAATGGCCCCTCCTTCAAGAAGATAAAAGCCAGCTGTGAAGCGAATGTTCTTTGCAGGAAGCAAAAACGTTTTGAAACTCAGCCTCATGGACATTACAGTATCTTAAATTGGTATTTGAAGACCCTTGTGTTGTGAAATATTTCTTATCTGTGATTTTTGGCAGTCTTGTAAAGTTTTTGCAAGGTTTGTGCTTATCAAAGTTAATTAGTTTGCAGCAGCTTTTTAACCGGGGATTCGTAAGACTCATTAAAAAGTTTCTGTTCCCTTTGATCATTGTTTGTCTTATTTGAAAAGGGTTTGGGTCAGAACAAAAGAAGAGGGAGTTAAGCTATTCTCCAAAGCACCTGAATGCAGGACAAGAAGCAATGGATGGAAACTGAACAAGGAAAGATTTAACCTGGAAATAAGGAGAAATTTCCTGACAGAACAATTAACCAGTGGAACAGCTCCAGAAGTTGTGGGTGCTTCATCACTGGAGATTTTTAAGAGGAGACTGGACAGTCATTTATCCGGAATGAAATAAGGACTCTTGTCTTGAGCAGGCGGGTTGGACTAGAAGACCTCTAAGGTCCCTTCCAGCTCTGTTATTCTGTAATCCATTCTAAAATTCCAATCGAACTAGAGGCAAAATGTCTTTACTGGTCCTGTGAAAGCCATAAACAATGCCTGACAATATAATCCAGGACTCCGTAGTGTAGGGAAGATGAAAATGATTGTGTGTTTATTTATTAAAGGGAGTTCTGCGTGTGCTTTATTGCCTGGAACAGCAAATTGTTTTTTTAGGCTGTTGTTGAAGCTGAACGGTTTTTTCTTTCGCGTTGTCTTCCTGCTCTTTTAAAATCCTATGGGAGACAAAAGCAGTTAGAGGCAAATTGTTGCTGTTTTCCAATCTGGACCATCTATTCTATTCTCTTTTCCAGCAGCAGCTCTCTACATGCCTCTTTGGAAACATGCGTGAACACTCTTGCTTCTCTCCAGCATTTTGAATTCAGAGACAGAGCGTCTCTGATGCAGACATACCACAAGGCCCCTTTATTTATTATTTACTTTACTTAAAACATTCATATGGCTTTCAGCCAACCCCAGGCAGCTCCCAATCAAGGAGCTTGGCTCCTTGACAGGAGCTCGGGATCATTCAGAGACAGGTTTCCCATGAAACGCCGGAGCCCTCCGAGAGAAACGATTTCACCAATCAATTATGCATGAGGGCGTTAAAAGTAGAAAATGATGGAAAGACTTTCACTATGGGTGCTAAGAATTCATGCCATCGGATGTTAACATGAATCTTTTCCTGCTGTACTGAGAGCTCAGTCTGAGATGGAGATAGATGGATGGATGGATGGATGGATGGATGGATGGATGGATGGATGGATGGATGGATGAATGGATGGATGGATGGATGGATGGACGGACGGACGGATGGAAGGATGGACAGACAGATGGGGGGGAAGGCAGGCAGGCAGGCAGATGAGATGATAGGTAGGTAGGTAGGTTGGTAGACAGACAGACAGACAGATGGGAAGGCAGGCAGGCAGATGAGATGATAGGTAGGTAGGTTGGTAGGTAGGTTGGTAGACAGACAGACAGACAGATGGGAAGGCAGGCAGGAAGATGAGATAGATAGATAGAAGATAGATAGATAGATGATAGATAGATAGATAGATAGATAGATAGATAGATAGATAGATAGATAGATAGATAGACAGATGATAAAGGATGGATGGATGGGTAGATAGATGATGGATGGATGGGGGGCAGGCAGGCAGGCAGGTGGATAAATGATGGATGGATGGATGGATGGGTGGGTAGGTAGGTAGATAGATAGAGATAAATGATGGGTGGATGGATTGGTAGATAGATAGATGATGGGTGGATGAGGGGGCAGGCAGGCATGCAGGCAAATGATGGATGGATGGATAGGTAGAGTAGATAGGTAGGTAGGTAGGTAGGTAGGTAGGTAGGTAGGTAGGTAGATAGATAGATAGATAGATAGATAGATAGATAGATAGATAGATAGATAGACAGACAGAAGATTGCCCTTCTATCACTTTCTGGAATTTACTTAACTCAAGCCCTCTTTTCCTTACCTGGCCAAGTGAAGTATAGGTGCTTTGATGTTCTCCCCCGTCAAGGCACTGCATTCATAAAAAATTATACTGTAATCCTAGAACAGAGCAGAGGAGAAAAAAAAGAAGATTGTCTAAAAGTAAAAGATTCCTAATAGTTTTTCAGCAAAGACGAAGGAACCAGAAGCAAGACACCACATGGGCCCTACAATTCAAACATGGAAAATGCAGCCAGGTGAATTCACGCTCTAACAACTCCATAGGGTAGAATTAGATTGACAAGACTATTAGAGGGGTTACAGAACCTCCTTTTTCAGGTTCCACTTCCCATCCTTTTCCTTCTGTGTTGCTCGAGAACTCTTGAAGGAGCATATTCTGTGTGGAGAATCAATGTGACTTCACTATAAGTAACTGACAGTGAGAATAACCAACCGGTGGAACTGCTTGCCTCCAGATGTTGTGGGTGCTCCATCACTGGAGGCTATTCTATTCTATTCTATTCTATTCTACTCTACTCTACTCTACTCAACTCTATTCTACTCTACTCTACTCTACTCTACTCTACTCTACTCTACTCTACTCTATTGTATTCTGTTCTATTTTATTCTATTCTATTCTATTCTATTCTATTCTATTCTATTCTATTCTATTCTATTCTACTCTCCTCTCCTCTCCTCTCCTCTACTCTACTCTACTCTACTCTATTGAGCAGAAGGGACTTCAAGCTCCCTTCCAACTCTGTTATTCTGTTTAGGGGGACCTTGAGAGACAATTTGGACTTCCTCTACAGCTGCAGACCAGCTGACTTTGACAGCCTCAAAGCAGTGAATCACAATAAAGACAATAAAGATACTGTATATACTGTATAGTTTTATAGAGAGAGAGAGAACAGAAAAAAGGTCATTGGAATCATGAGGACCATGGAAAAAGAAAAACCTGAAGGAGAAAGTAAAGATGTGGCTATAATTTATTTATTTATTTATTTTGTCAAGCGATTATAAGATAACAGGTATAAGTATAAACATAGTTATGAATACATGAAATGGATATGAATAAGAAAAAAGAAAGAAACAATAGGACAGGGACAGTAGGCACATTAGTGCGCTTATGCACGCCCCCTACAGACCTCTTAGGAAAGGGGTGAGGTCAACAGTAGACAGTCTAAGGTTAAAGTTTTTGGGGTTTGGGGAAGAAACCACAGAGTCAGGTAGAGTATTCCAGACATTGACCACTCTGTTGCTGAAGTCGTATTTCCTGCAATCAAGTTTGGTGTGGTTTACCTTGAGTTTGTATCTATTGTTGAGACTTTGGAAAAAGTTCAGAGAAGAGCAACTAAGGTGATCAACGGCTTGGAGACTAAACCATATGAAGAAAAACTGCAGGATTTGGGTCTGGCTAGTGTAAAGAAAAGAAGAATTAGGAGTGACATGATAGCAGTATTCCAAGTATTTGAGGGGCTGCCACAAAGAAGAGGGGGTCAAGCTATTCAAAGCACCAGAGGACAAGATAAGAAACAACGGATGGAAACTAATCAAGAAGAGAAGCAACCTGGAATTAAGGAGAAACTTCCTAACAGTGGGGACAATTAACCAGTGGAACAACTTGCCTTCAGGAATTGTGGGCATCACTGGAGGCTTTTAGGAAGAGACTGGACAGGCCATTTGTCTGAAATAATATAGGTTCTCCTGCTTGAACAGGGGGCTGGACTAGAAGACCTCCAAGGTCCCTTCCAGCTCTATTTCTATTTCTATTCTGTAATTACAGTACTTTTAGGAACATGAGAATCTGCTCCAAAGTAGACAGGAAGGAAAGGAGACCTCCAAAATTCCTTTATCAGGAAGTTAAGACAATGTTTGAGACAACGACAAATCTGCAGACAGACAGTAGGTTATATAACTTGCCTCGTGGTGTAACCGGAACAATCTGGAACTGAACACACTCAAAACCATAGAAATGGTGGTAGACTTTAGAAGAAACCCTCCCATACTACCACCTCTTACAATACTAGACAACACAGTATCAACAGAAGAGACCTTCAAATTTCTAGGTTCTACCATATCACAAGACCTAAAATGTCAACATCAAAAATGTCATCAAAAAAGCACAATAAAGAATGTTCTTTCTGCGCCAACTCAGAAAGCTCAAACTGCCCAAGGAGCTGCTGATCCAGTTCTACAGAGGAATGATTGAGTCTGTCATCTGCACCTCTATAACTGTCTGGTTTGGCTCTGCAACCCAACAGGACAGACACAGACTCCAGAGAGTAATTAGGACTGCAGAAAAAACAATTACTACCCACCTGCCTTCCATTGAAGACCTGCATACTGCACGAGTCAAAAAGAGGCCTGTGTAATTATCTACAGACCCCTCACATCCTGGACATAAACTGTTTCAACTCCCACCCTCAAAATGACGCTATAGAGCACTGCACACCAGAACAACTAGACACAAGGACAGTTTTTCCTCGAAGGCCAAACAAACATTCCCTCAACGCTGTTCAACTATTTACAAAGTCTGCACTACTATTACTGTTAATCTTCTCATCATTCCTTATCACCCATCCCCTCCCACTTGTGACTGTAGGATTGTAACCTTGTCGCTTGTATCCTTACAATTTTTATTTATTGTTTCTTGGTATGATTTGATTGCTGTACCTGATGATTCTCGACTCTTGACGAATGTATCTTTTCTTTTATGTACACTGAGCATTTGCACCAAGATAAATTCCCTGTGTGTCCAATCACATTTGGCCAATAAAGAATTCTACTCTATTCTATCTATTAACAGCTCCCGAGGCTTTTGTTGAAACAAGCTCCTGAATCAAGGGATATCTTTTTCCAGATGTAACAGAATAAGCATCTTTACTTTTAACAATCACAGAAACAGTGGGGTTCCATATTTCTAAGGCTATCCCTAACCTCAATAACAGAAGGAAGATAGATATCACTGAATAAATTCTTTTTAAGAAGTCATTTCTAGGGCTATGTGTTAACGGAATATTTATTTTATGCCTAGATTATCCGATGCTCTCTCTCTCTCTCTTCTTACTATACCTTGGCTAGATGTTCCCCCAATCTCTTAGGAACCTCTCGTTCTTTTTCCTTATCGACTTTATTGCCCAGCAGAAGGATGGGGATGTTCTCTCCAGCTGCCTCCTAGGAAATAGGGAAAAACAATTGAAGGACAGGAATATATGAAGAAAGCAATCCACAAACTGACAAACAGAAACATTTATTAGGATACCCTGAATGATATTATGAAAAAGACGGAGTTTTGAATTAAGGAGGAAAATTTAAAGCTAGGTACTGTAATTCCATCATCATGTATATTTGTTTTGGGTTCAAAAACTGCTTCAGCTTAGAGATTCTCTCCCAGCCTTTTTTAGTCAAATGGTCTGGCTGAGGAATTCTGGGAGTTGAAGTCTACAAGTCTGAAAGTTGCTAAGGTTGGAGACCCCTGGCCTAAGAAGACCGATGGAACTCAGAGCCACTTGGGAAAAAAGAAGAAAGAAAGAAAGAAAGAAAGAAAGAAAGAAAGAAAGAAAGAAAG